TCCTGAAGAATATCCAGACGGGTTAGGGTTAGTTTCAGGGACTGAATTGTGTTTTCATGGAACGATGTTTAATTTAGTTTTCACTCAATAATTAATATTTTATCAATACAACAAATCTCATGCAACTTGTCCTGCTTTAATAAAAGAAACAGTAAGAAATGATTCACACCAAAGAACAATGACAGCACATGTGCACGTGATCATCCCACAGAAAAAGATAAAGAGACAGAAATACGATGTTTTCATAATTCAGTTTTGGACGTCGATAACATTTGTGTGGAGCAGTAACAGTGACGGGACGCTAACGGCAGCGAGCAGGGTCGGACATTCCAGCTTTGACCTGAACAGTCCAGGGTTATGGTTAACCCTAACTAACCCCGAATAAAAACAAATATTTTATAAGACTCCAGCACTGAGACGTGATCTTTTTATCCAGATGTGACGTAGAAAAGTTCAGAAGGTCACATGGTTCAAGTTTCAGAGAATTGTGACCTGGTTCAACCTCTGAGGACAAAGATTGAAGATTGAGACAAAGGCCCCTCCCCTTCATTTTGCATGTTCGGGTGAAGGGCCAGGCTGTCCCAATACCTGTTGGGATGGAGGGGTGGGGCTAAGTGTTCGGGCTTTATAGCCCTCGAAACGGACATTTTGAAGACCCTCACTTGAAATGAAGGGGTACCCAGAATGCCTTGCGAATCACCAGCAAGCTGGGAGAGAGACCCACAAATGTAATATTTTCCTCATTAATAAGGATTTAAAAATTACGATAAAGATTTTAATATCTTAGTGTAGTAACGTTTCAATGTATTATTGTCATTTCTTCCACAACAACCTGAAAAAAAGATTGTGAGCGCATTAGTATGCTGGCGTTAGCATGCTAGTGATCTTAATTTGCATGAGAATCCTGTACTTTCACGTATATTCATACCCCACCCCCTCTCTGAAGACACACGATGCTCTTGGTTGACCCAGCGTGTAGCAGCGATGTTACTGAACTAAACTGCTGATGACACAGCGTCCTGCAGGTTTCATACAGAGCATGCTAGCAGCCGCTGCTTTGATTCAAACGTGAAATAATGACGAGCATCCGAGCTTTTCAACTTCAAATGTCATAGATTCACCTGCGTTAGAACAGACGTTACTTGGATATTAAAGGTTTGTCACTTTAGTAACTGCAAACAACAGCTTTGGTTTATTTAAGATCTCAACAACGTTATTACAATGACGTCTCTCGTCTGTTTACATCCACCACCACTGATGATGTAACGGCTTCTTGAAGCGCTGTCCCAATTCGTAGGAGAAGATTTCAACCACTAACAAAACAACCCTCGAAAACAAGGGGCGGGGGTCAAATGGGATTGGGCCTAAATATTAAACAAGTTTCATTAAAATACTTTCACTCATTCATCTGTTCACTCACTCATTCATTCATTCCTTTATTTATTCATTCACTCATTAAACAAGTTCCATCATGAGAGAACAGGATCCGCCCGACGTCATATAAACCTAAAAAACAACATGATGCAACATGTGCTTTAGGTAAATAACATTTAAACAAACAAAGATAAACAAAGATGAGCAGCAGCTCTTTTTTAAAAACTAAAATCGTTTAGTCTGACATCATTGTTTGTGTTGATCAGAGTGGAAGACCATTGGCTGCGACTGAAATCTCAGGTACAAACTGCATAAAACAGAGTCAGGACGGATGATGTCACAGCACGCACACACACACGCACACAGGCTGTACATTTAGAAAGAACATTGTTATTAACCATGTTAATACTTGAACACACAAACATGTAAATAAGTTAACATGTTAACACCATAACACGTTAAGGCCCTGATCCAGAACTCTTTATAACATATGTAACGTATATTAAAACCACTTTGTGATTCAGTCAAATATTGAG